GCAGTGCTCTTCTTGACCTTTATCTATAGAAGCACCTGAACCTGCCAATGGAGCTTTTATTTTTCCACCCTGACATGTGCTGACATAGAACAAGAAAATCCCAGCTTGTTGCCAAACTGTTTCTGCATTCTTTCCAATCCCTGTGACAAAGATAACTTGGATAACATGTCAAATATTGTGTTGATAAATAAGCTATGCAGTCTTGCAGCAATAAATTCCTAGTGACAACAGTATCAAGAAAAATAGACCGACATATATAAAACATTTGCCAAACAGCACTAGAATGCAGATTCACTTTTGTATGTGATAGCCAGCCTTTGTCTTCATTTTAAGTTTCCTGAACCAGCCATGCGCAGCCACCTAACAGACCTGAAGTAAGTAATTCATGCACAATCAGAAAGTATGCAGTCTTGCAGCAATAAATTCCTAGTGACAACAGTATCAAGAAAAATAGACCGACATATATAAAACATTTGCCAAACAGCACTAGAATGCAGATTCACCTTTGTATGTGATAGCCGGCCTTTGTCTTCATTTTAAATTTCCTGAACCAGCCATGTGCAGCCACCCAACAGATCTGAAGTAATTCATACACAATCAGAAATTTTTACTATCTCAGAAAATGTTTTGTCTTTACATGGCCCTTGATGAAACCAACTGTTTCAACTTTAATACATGTGATCAAACCATTCAAAACATATTCTCCATGTATAAATAACATGCAGATTCACCTTTGTATGTGATAGCCGGCCTTTGTCTTCATTTTAAATTTCCTGAACCAGCCATGTGCAGCCACCCAACAGATCTGAAGTAATTCATACACAATCAGAAATTTTTACTATCTCAGAAAATGTTTTGTCTTTACGTGGCCCTTGATGAAACCATTTCAACTTTAATACATGTGATCAAACCATTCAAAACACTTTCTCCATGTATAATCTCTCAATTTTTCTTGTACAACCACAGAATGACTGGATACACAAGGCTGAAAACCACTCTAATGAATTCATATTCAGAAATCAAATACCAACACCACTACAAAATAACACAATTGTGGGATTTTTTCTCTTATCTTCAGAAGTTTGGAGTAAAGAACTGCAAAAATAATTACCTCCAGCAAAGGTAAGGTAAGAACTGTAAGAATAGAGTATAATCTTCTATGTCAAACAACTTTTTAATCTTTATATTGACTACCTGGAGATACACATATTCTACCTTTTTATTAGAGTTGAACTCAACCCACTTTATATGCCCAAACTGGTACCAAAAGCAGCACAGTTCAGTATTTCATTTTGGCTGGCCCCTGTGAAGGTATTAAAATCAACCACTGCTGTTCATCTGCATCTTTTGTTCCTCACTTCAATTTTGATGATATGGTTTTTGCAAACAAGTCACATTTCAAACCAGAGTGATGGATTTTCAGCTTAGAGTATTAGGAGAAAGAACTCCGTAGAATTCAGTAACTTTAGTATATTCCTCTTTAAAAAGACTCAATTTGATCATTTCCACATTTGGAAAAAAATATGGTAATGTTGTTAAGACTTTGAAAAGGATTTGATGATGGGAAATCCAAATTTTTTTCCCTTCTGTCAATTGTGGCTGACACTTCAAAGTTGCCAGCTGTGGAGAGAAAAGAATCTAAGTAGTGCCTACCATACATTCCATCAGTAAGCAGAATTCAGCTGTTAAAATTCAAAACACCTCACTGGCAAGCTGGGCTACAATAGAATGCTATCATTCAATACAGTGTGAGCATTCTGAAACTGAGGGGCAGAAGAAAAATTTCCATGAAGCCACATTCGATGGAATTCTGTGGAACACATAATTTTGTTTTGTCCCTAGGTAATAGGTATTTTCACTGCAGAGGGGAATGCTTGGGCTATGAACTGCCTCAAAAATAGCCAGTTACGTGTAAGCAGGGCATCTCTACATGAAATGCCTCTGGAAAATGGATACTGCATGCAATAAATGAAAACATTCTCTTGCAATGGAAATATCGTCGATGCAGGAGACAATTCTGAGCCTTCTAGCAAATAACCTTAGTAAGGACTGAAGAAAAAAAGTCTTCCAGAAGACTCAATATTACAAGATCAAGAATCCCCAGGAAGGGTGGCATCCAAAGGACAGTAATCAGACGTTTAGGAGTCCAGGATTTGTTCAGTTGAAGAGAAGAAAGGCTGGATGCTGAATGGAAACTACAGTCATGTAGAACTGGGGCTTTTTAATCTATTAATAAAAGAGCAATGGAAAAAAGTAAATGGCAAATTTCTTCCATAGGAATATCTTTACTGCACTGAACCAAGTGACACAGCTTCCTTCCTAAAGCTTTATTAAACTTACTCATAATTGTCAAGTGGAAGAAATCCACCTAAAAAGGGAAATAATTTCTGCACAATAAAAGAAAAAAATAAAAATATGACAAAACCAAGTATAAACTCCTTCAGAATAAAAGTATTTTCAAAATTACTACACAGTTTCATCAAAACACTCTTTTTAAGAAGCAGAAACTACCCCTTTGCATTCTGGGATCACAGGCCACCACTTGCCAATTAAGATTTTCTTTCCCTTCTGTATTTCCCATTCTTCAAAAATATCAAAGGCAGAACACAGAGAAAATTATTTTAAATTAAAATAATCTCACTTTGGTTTTGTCTTTTTCTCAGCATGACATTTAGTTAACATCTTCCAACCAGTGTCCATATTTTCTCAGAAACATGCTTTTATTTCTTCTGTGGTTCAGTGCCATGTTCTAAACCACAACACACAGGTGAACATCAGCAGAAATCCTTTGTTTGTTTTGGGGGATGGATGTTCTTTCTGAAGGAAGTTTTCTCCTCATTTAAGATTATGTGGGATTATTAAAGCCTCATGGGGTGGAAACAAATCTAAAGAAGTATAATTCCATACCAACACAAAATTGCCTGATTCTCACAAAAGGCTCATTTGCAGAAAGCTTCTGTTTCACCAGCACTGCTCATGGAAGATTAATTTACTTCATTAGTCTTAAAAATTCCCTCCCCAAACTCAGATACAATGAAAAATTATATATGGATACTGATGAAGAAGGTAGATTTAATGTGAGAGTTATAACCATACCCAACAGCCCTTCCAGGGCAAGGAGCAACACTTGCTGCAAGAATTTCTACCTGCTCACGTTCAGTAGTGCAGCACTCAAATCTTCCCATCTCACAGCAAGGAGGAATCAAAGAGGGGGAAAAAAAGTAATTTACTGACTACTATTTTTCTTTTTTTTTTTTTCAGAATTAATTTTAAGAACAGCAATAACAAAATAGACATTTTATCTGAAGTTTAGAGCAAAAGGGAAATAAAACCCAGAGGCTGCAGGTTTAACTGTTTGGCAGAAACAAATATTATTTCAGTCAGAACAAGCAGGACTCACAAAATAAAAACAACCCACACACACATATCCAAGGCCACATGTTACTTTGCTTTTAAAAGTGGAGGTAATGGAGGAGAAGTACCAGTAAGTATGAGAACAGTTGCTAAATCCCTACTACTAAGTCCACCAATGCAGGGTGAACTTGTTCCAAGCCTCATTATTGAGAATATCTGTTAAGGCAAATACAACAGCAGCAGATATGGATTTTGAATTCCTATCTTCAAATTGATGAAATTTAAATATAATCTTTCATTTGAAGGAAGAAATGCTGTTTACATGGCTATGTGCTGCTTTGTACACCTCATAAAATACAATTGGAAGTAGTACAGCTCTCTTTATTTTGTCAACTGCTGTATTAGATGTCATACTTGGAAGGAAAATTATATAAAAAATAAATTTACATGATTGAAGTGCAGCATTCTTGGAAGTATTCGTAGGTTTCAATTTATAATTTTAGAAAAAAAAAAACTCTCTTGTGAGGATGGTGAGTTCTTTCACTGAAAAACAGAGCATGAAGTATTTTTGACATACAAAAACATTTTAACCCAAGAATCTACAATGTGAGGACTGGCCAACCATTTTTATATTATGCACAAGCTTGTTAATTGGTCTCAATTGTCTGCGTGCAAAGTGATGAAAAATACTGGAGAAAGTTCTAATTTTACCAAACATCCTAAGAGCAGCCTTTGAGAATGCTGTTTTTGTTTTAGTGAGAGAAATTTCCTATTTCAGTTTCAAATACTTAGCATTTAAAAAACAGGTATTCCTGACACTTCCTTAAGAGAATTACATGAACGTAATTGATCTAAAAGCATAAACACACCAGATTTATGCAAGTACTTGGATGTACAGAGGGAAAACCAAAGAACACTTTCAATCTAGTGAGCCGGTGAAATTGAGTGGAATGTCAACACCTAACATGGTTAGATTTTGCAACATGGATAAATTATCTCAGTAATTATGGTGCAGTTACAATCTTTATGAGTTAGTCTTCCCACATCACACTAACTGCTATGTGGAGACAACCACAGTCAGAATTTCTGAAATTTTCACAGAAGACTTAGTTCTTATGTTCCCACTGCTTTGTCAGTGGTCAAAGTGAAGATTACTCTTCTGCAAGAAAGCATTCACAATATAATAGAGCTCAACCTTCCCTTCTGTCCTTAAGCTTGCTCCACTGTCAAGTACTGTAAAAGAAAGTGAAGATGATCTGCCTCCACCACATCAGCTGTTTGTTATGGTAGCACATAAGAACACACAGATCTCTCAGCTACAAACATTCTGTTCACTTACCATTGTCACCTATTCCCTTTTCCTATGTTAGCCTCACGGTTCATGTTTATCATACCATTCTCACATCTAACTTTAGATCTATAAAACATTTTAATATACTTTGAAAACTTAACACAAAAAGTTCAGAGATTAGTCTGACAACTAATTAGTACAACAGATTCTTAATTAGGAGGCCTATATATTGCTGCAATTGAAGTAGATGATTTATACAGTAAGATAACATATACTTAATTCACAGTGATTTTTCTACTGTATGGTTTCTCTGTAGTCATTCCAATCCTTTTCATGACATTTAGATATGTTGGTATGTTTAATCTCATTTATTTCTACTTCTAGAAGACAATTGTTACATTAGTATGAAGACTTTGGAGACAGAGAAAGCTACATTTTCAAAAATTTCTACAGCATTAGAATTGTTACTATTGAATGAGTTCATAGACTTCTTTGTTCAGGTCCTTCTATTAAAGTCAAATGTACCAATATCTCCTTTGCTTTTCCCAAGCTGCAAGCATGTAAGGTGAAGATTTTGCCCCCAAGCCCCAATGCTCACAGGAAACTGTCTCTGAGGTCATAAAAATGAATGGTTTTTCAGTCCCGTAGCAGCTTATGCCACGTACCCATGTAACAGGTTTCAAAAATATCAAACTAGCTAAAAAAGACCAGTTAACTAAAAAAATTCAAATTCATATCTGACTTCAGAAAAAAAAGACAACTAAGCAGTTGCATTAAACAAGTAATGAGGCAGTGGTCCCTGATCATTTTGTTATTAAGTTCCCAAATCCAGTTCATTGTGGGACTACCAGCTATCCACTTCTGGTCCATTTCTAAATTACCTCATCGTATCCACAGAAGAACGTTTTCTTCTGTTTGCTCTCTATCTCTATCCAGCCTTTTGGCCATCCCCTGTTTTCTGTCTCACCAGAACACTGTATGGCACTTGCAGCATTGCAGCCTACTGGTGGTGCCATGTGCCAGAACAAAATGATGGTCTGGCAACACTTGCCTAGGTAACACCATATATTAGTGCCTTAGTAAAAGCTGTCAGATGAAGACTAGGAGATAGAATCCACTGAAGAAACTTCCTTCATACTTTTATAATAAAAGCAAAGTTGAATTCCAAGTTCAGGAACCACTGAGCAGCTCTTGTTTTCTCTGCTCATTTTACCTCCATCTTGCTTCCTTCCGATCTTACAGTTTGCTAACCTTAATTCCAGTGGATTCAGTCTTTGGGAATGAAAACCCATGAAAACTGCAGAAATTGTCATGTTCACTGTAAGAATATCTGCAGGGTCATATTACTGGCATTTTAAAAAGCCAGGTTAAGACAACAAACCTTCATTCATCCCTTCCTGTATGAATGGCCTGTATGTCAAAATACCTGAAAACTGCACTGATACAGTAGAACTTATTTTAACTTGCATTACGAATAAACTGCACATGCTGTTTTACAGACAATATATATTTGTAAACTTGCTCATGCAAAATTAGTGTGCACAACAGGGATATTGGTTTTCTAATCCCCACATCTGTAAAAATGACATTTATGTCTGCTCTTTTTGAACTGTGCCCAAACTCTCTTTTTAATATAATAAATCTTACACATAATTCATCTGCCAGCCAAATCAATTTATGAAGCTAAAACAAAAAAGAATAAAAAGTTATACAAAAAACATGGTGCACCTGGACACTTGATTCCCACCTCCCCCCATTTTGTTTACAAGTAGAAAGAATGACTAAAAGAAAAAAAAATCATGGTCACAAAATTTCGACATTTTAATCCTAAACATTACAGGGCAAATGGATGTTGGAATTTATTTCCATACACCATGAGTCAACTTTTAAATTCCCAAATGTGGCCAAATCCACTAAAACAAGAGTGGTTAAACTCTGGACTATGGAAATACATTTCTGGAATAAATGCTAGAAAAGCAATTATGGGAAAAGCCAACTGTCTCCATAAAGGTAAATAAAGTGGAACAATGTGTAGATTAGATACTTTTTCTGTTTCTTACTCATAACCTGTCAATTCAGTGCATCATATGGTTCAACATAATGGTCCCCATTAGACAAACATCTAACTAGTGTCCATTGATTCCAAGTTAGTGGATGATGAATCTTTTTGGATACTTTCAAAGATGGCTGCCAGCTCAGGGTTAGAGCTTATCTGTGACTGAAATTCACTCATTAATGGACTCTTCTCTGCTTCTGGAATGGTTAGAAGTGCTGCTACAGCTCTCATAGCAGATCGTTTTAGTTCATCTTGCTTTTCAAACTCCTGTTTCACTGAGTTTGCCTTTACCTATGGAAAAAATGAAAATACGTTTGAAACCTTACTCAACCCTCCCTCTATACCAATCTTAAAAAATGTACCTTGAAAAAAACTTATTTCCTCTCAAAATCATCTGTGCTCTTAAGAAAACAACTAAACAGAAAACACCCCCAAACATCTTTTTAGCAGAATTTTTACCAGCAGTTTAAAAACAAACTGAAGCTTCAACACGGCAAGGTAGGCAGAAAAAAGTTCTAAGTTGCCAAGTCAATCACCAAATCAAAGCAACTATAGCAGCCAGCCTTTAAGCTAGTAAGGTCAATAAATGACTTTAAACTGCTATTATCACAGTACTCCCAGCTTCCAGAGGACAGAACTTCTTAAAGAAGATGACCTTCATTAGAATAACTGCTTAACCTTCTGCTGTTATTCTCCAAGATATTTCAGTGCTACAAACATAAATTATAATTAAAGGCAGTCAATTTTCATTATGTGAACTATAATAGACTAGATAATAGAAAAGCAAGGTAAATCAGGCAATAAATGACTGTCAGAGCATGCAGGTGAATTAAGACCAAGCAGGAATGGAAGGAGACTAACTACAAAGCTCCAAAAATCCTGTAACATAAATGAAGAAGAGGTGGGATAAATGACAAAAACTCTAACAAAAGTCTACACAAAGTCTAACAAAGCAAGGACTATACACTGCCTTCATCAGCCAAATGCTTGTCTGAAACAACACCATCATCAGAAGTCAGATAAACTCTCAGTATTCCAGTTTCACTATTTATAATGAAATGAGATTTACAAGTGGCCCAAGTGGCAGCTGAATTTTTAAGGAACAAAAGAAAACGCATCAAAGAAACAGAGGATTTTTTAAAAGAAGCTTACAAATCTACCTCTCCATCTGTAATTTAAATAAATTTAACACTTGTACAAAGATCCATTCATTTCTAATCTAATTATGCTGCCTACTGCAGCTTATCAACTGTAACTCAGGAAACACTGCAGCAGTACAGAAGTATTCTTTAAACATGAGTTCATTTGTATTTCTATAAGAAAACACAAACCAATGGAGTTAAATAAGCTGAAATACCTTAGTTGTACACGTAGCACGCAAAGGTTCAACAAGCCTGTCCAATCTCTGCAGCACCGCGCTTGGACACAGGGTGGACAGTCTCACCAGCATTAAAAAGGTCAGCATCTAGGGTGAGGAAAAAAAACAATTCAACAACAGTTATGCCTGGCACATATAGGGAAATGTATTTCCCACAATGCTGTGTAACCTTTTGAACAGTCACACTTCAATGAAAACAGCAAATGTAGTGAAGTACTTCAGCATATGAAGTAATATTTTTACCATTTCACTCTATTCACCAATTGAAATATTTTGATGAAATCACTGCTTTCACAGAGAAAAATGACAGCTAACCTTGATATCATAGTGATCCTTCAGACCATCTTCAACATGGTTTAGGAATTCAAATATATCTAGTCTATCCAAACAGCTATCCAATAGAGTATACATGCACTCAAAAGCTGCTTTCCTTATGTCCAACCCATCATCAACTGTGTGCTTAAATGGTCCCATTTCCACCTGTCAATGAATAAAAAAAAAGTTAATTAATACACATTTAAAAAATAAGTACATATTTAGCATTGTTTTTCTCAGTTAACTTACTTCTCTGATTAATTCCTTTCTGACTTTTGTTTCATTGTAAAGATGAGGAAGCACAGTATCTAAGAGGTCCCTTATCAAAGATGGTTTATTGTGGGCAGCTGAATTAAAAGTCACTAGGGCTACTCTCCTGACATTGAGATCTGGGTCCTCCAGAGTTTTCAGAAAATCACCTGCAATCACAGACAGAAAAAAAGCAACCTATGAGGATCTTTTACATTTGCAACTTTTAAAATAGTTTTACTTAAACTTTCAAAAAGACATATTTAGTGCAGGAGTTTTTTAATGGAATAGACACTTGCTATTTCAGCATGATTACACAAATAAAGGATTATCATAATATGAAAAGTATTAATATAATTGTTATATAGTATTTCATATAATGAAACGGTAGTAGAAGAAACACCATCAAAATAAACAGCCATCATAATGACATATAAACTTTCTTTTCATGTAAATTAATTGATAGTACATTTAGCCTTTCATCTTCTCCATTTATTAAAATGCTCTCAAAATATGCACTAGAAAACCAATTTCAATTTCTGCAGTCCAGGAGTTCCAGAACTCCTCTTAAAGAAACTACTGACATAACTGATGTTTTAACCCTCAAATTGGCATATACTGAGAATACCTAAATTACTATGAAATTGGCCGACTCAGTACATATTAATATAGCACCACCTCTCCCAGCACCCTCTACATTTGGGCATTTTAAAATTGCATTTTTCTATACTTCTAACACAGCCTTATTAAAATAAATGCCTGCATGAACATATCCTCAATGTTTATGAAGTTGTAGCAACTTCCATGAGAATTTTCTAAGGAGAAAATGAGTATTTTCTAAGGAGAAAACCAACAAGGTATAAAAACAAAGTGACTCTTACACCCACCAAAAAGCTGGGTAACAAAACTCAAAATGACTGAGATTTTTAAAGTGCCAGATTCTGATAGTTTTTTACTTGAATAATTGATTAATACTTCCAGAAACCAAAGGGGCAAGGCAGCTTCAGTGGGAGGGGGAAAAAACCTACAAGCAGAATTCTTTAATGTATTACTTAAAAATCAAAAAAGCTTAGTGATGAAAATAACACACAGTAAACTGGCTTCATTTCCCTATAAATAAAAACCTCGCTCTTTACAAAACTATGCTTTTAAGCATAAATCTTTCCCCTTCTATTAGGTTAAGAAGCATAGATTATTTTTTTACAGATCTTTACACCTGTAATTAACCAAGGGTAGAACATTCATAACATCTTAAACAATCTACAATACTTTGTTATACAAATGAGAAAATAAAAAAGCCACAGCATTGCAAAGGTCTTTGTCATACTGATTTTACACTGAAAGCTCTGATTACCTTATTCCTGTATAAAAATATACCCAATTCCAAATGCTTTCAGAATACAAGCATTACAGAATCATGACAACCTATATTTACAATTCAAAACCTGGTAATACTCAGAATAATTCTCACAAGCATACATGTCTTAAGTGACTGAATGTCAAATATTTCCAAGACCACACTTCTTGGTAAATATAGTACATCTTACTAAATCAAACTGATATAATTTGGCAAAAACATGGGAAATCCGCTTTTGGATCCCATCCTACTAAAAACATTAGCTTCTTGTATTGCCCATCACAAAGTCAATACACAGAATTTTTAATTACACAATTTTTACTGCTCAGAATTAAAATAAATTAGTGTTAATAGAAATAATTGGCTACTACGGAATTATCTTGTAACTCTTCCAACAGTTATCATTAGCAGCTAATTCTAGTATCTTCAAAATATTTATTTCTGGTAACACAAAAAAAATTTTAAATGTAATTCTCTTGCCTGAAAACATAGAAGCTGTCAGTGCAAGTGGAGTACTTACCTATGCAGTTCTTCAAGAGTGGGTCTATGGGTTGAGGATGATCAGAAATAGTGAACTTAACAGCAGTAACCACTGAACTTCGAGCATATGAGGACCCTGGTATGAAACAAAAGTGTGAACATGCAAGATTAAAACACAACAACAACAGAATCGAAATCATGCTCAATGCCACTCATTCCTCTTAGACTTCAAATACTCTTAAGAACAGCAAACAAGAAATGCTATTTACTGCTAGCAATGCAATACGTAACTCAAACCTATGGATAGAACATGTTAAACAGGGGAAAAACATTGTAATAAGGTAATAAACATGTAATGTTATCTCCTATAGAAAATTTTAATAAGCAATAAGCTTATTAAAACAGATTATTTATGATCATGTATCAGCCTAAAAAAAAATTCTCCCCAGCAGAAGCACATGAAGAAAATATGTGAATACAGTTCTTGATATGAGACTAGTTCATTAATTATGCACAAAAATATTTCCTAATTCTTAAAAACTTCAGAATCCTGATCTGAAATGTAGGAATATAGTCATTTACACCAAAAGACCAAAATCTTGCAACTGGTTTGTTGATTTGTCCCTTAGTCACCCATGCTCCTTCCCCTTCAAGTTTACAGCTCTGTCTTAAACATAAAACATAACATTGTTAACAAATACAATGTCTGAAAGCAGAGCACAAGTAATTCTTGTTGTGTATGACTAACAACTTCTAGTAAACACAAAAAACCTTAACCTTCCATTGTTGGTGAGGGGAGCAAAACTACAAGACACAGCATTTAAGCAAGTAATTTGAAAAACTAGATCCATATATTAACAGGTATCATAAAGCCATCTGCTCCAACACATACATGCACTACTCCTCACCTGATGCCAAGTATCCCTTGAGTCGTGGAAGCAGAGTCTCTGGGTCTATCAACGTAAGCTTGCCCAAGCATTCAGCAACAACATTCCTTGTACCCTCTTCGGCACATTCACAGTGTTTCAAGAGTAAGGCCCAGATGTTCTCAACATATGGTTTGAGACCAATCACTGACGCAGAGCTAATTATTTCTTTCAAGGAATGCAGAAGAAGGTATTGCCTCTTAGGCTGACTGGTTATTTCTTGTAGGACAAATGGCAGATACTCAGGAAGATTGCCAACACTAATACTGCCTAAGGCGTATGATGCCGCTGACTTGACTTCTTCACTAGGAGAAGAGAACGCTTCCAGTATTACAGACTTCAGCTCGATTTGTCCACTTAAGTCAATGTGATGCCCAACTTCCCCAAGAGAAAGCAAAGCCAAAAGACGAATGGAATCTGTGGACCTCGAGTTCTTAACGTCTTGAATGAACTGACCTACAACAGCTGGTCCTTCCTTAGGGCAGGCTCGAGTAAGGGCAGCGACACATTTGGCAATGGAATAGTAAGACTGCTTGTGAGTAAGTGCTGTGCTCTGCGAGTACACTGGACCCGTTAACATGCGCAGTAAATCCATATAGCCCAAGTTGTTTGTACCAGTCACAACCAAAGCTTGGAAAAATTCTAGCATGGCACTAAGTGCTCCACCCTGAAGTAGAGGTGATCTTACCAGCCCAATAAGTTCATTGAGAATGGAGCCACTAATCTTTGACAGGGAGGAAGGATATACTTTAGCCAGTGTTGTCAGAAAACTGATGGCCATCTGTGATACGTGCATGTCACTTTCGCTAATCAGAGGTGGAAGCTCATCCAGGACTGCATCAATCATGGCAGCTGTCAAGCTGTCACTGTAATTCTTAATTAAAATATCTAGCGCAGAAAGAGTGCCCAGCTTCAAAGCTCGCTGGTTCTTTCTCAAAAAAGAAGCAAGAATAGGAACTCCTTCCCCAAGGATTGGTCTCAAATCTATCTTCAAAGGAGAACCAGCAATCAATGTCATTGCCTTCACGGTAGTTAACCGAGTGATCTCATTCTTCAGTCTCTCCAGAAAGATCTGAAGTGTACTAGGCAGGTCTGTGCCTAGACTGTCACCAAGGCTACAAATTATTTGACCCATGCAAGATATTGCCCTTTCTTTCACCTCCTGATCAATGTCAGCAGCCTTTAATCTTTTGATTGTACAAGTAAACAAATCTTTGATGTAAGGAGTAGCATCAAAGGAAGAAGGCTGGTCTAAAGGACGAATAACCTTTACAAGTTGTTGGGTAACCAAAAGTGCCTCTGATGTTATCTTGTAAAATGGGTCACCAACACAAGCTACAACTGGAGGTACCAATGCTTGAACATGAGGATGAAAGACTTGGGGAGAATGATTGCAGAGGATCACATACAAACAGGACAAAGCATCTATCTTCAGATTAGAAGAACTTGATTTGTCATTCAGTGAAAAGATTATTCCTGGAAGAAACCAAAAAATGTATTTTTAGGGCAGGTATTTATAGAGTGTGCTAGAACACTTTAAAATTTCCAAAGGAAGGCAGCTATACTGAATTTATGCCTTCTGGCTCCTCATCTTTCTGAATGCTTCTAAAACCCTTTAATCACTTTATTCAACCAATTAGCTTTTAGGCTTCCTCCACCAAAAGACATCGATCATTCAATGGTCTATGACATATTTTCTTAATTATAAAGAAATTCGAACCTTTAACATTTCCAACCTTACTTTTCACCATTACTTCAAATTTCAACATTTTAAGTTTTATAAGCTAAACTGTGGAAAATATTTTTCTCTGTTCTGATGGAAAAGAAATCAATTTGATTTTGTAATTAAGAATCAAATTAACTTCTTTTTTATAAAGAAGAAAAAACCTTTAATCTTCTTTTCAAGATTAATGGAAATATATGACTAAAATATTTACATGGATACAAATAATAGCTGATTATTTTGCCATTTTCTTTCAACAGAAGCCACACTTCAAAGCTTTTGCAAAAAGGACAGTCGGGACTTCACTATTTTGATGTTTCAGAACATCCCATACCATTTATTAGTAAGTATTAAAGGTAATGCTGTGTTTCTCATACCTGGTACAAGTACAGGAACATGCTGTGTTAGGGCTCCAGGTAACACATTTACTAGCTCAGTCAGCATGTTAAAGCAGCACTGACGAGTCTTAACGCTCTTCTCCTTCATCTGTTTGTGCAAGGCTTTAACTATGTTGGGAACCTGTAATCATCACACATCTGTTAATTGATTCAATAGCTGACATTTCTTTTATTATTGATCTCTGGGGGGATATAAAGAAATATGTGCATCCTAACCCCCTGATTTCTCTACAGAACCAGAGAAGTTGTAGAAACACTGGGAAATGAAGATTCAAAATAATTGCTTTAAAAAAAAAGTGATTTAGCTTTGAAAGGTTAATTGCATTAATAAAACTGTAGAGAGCAACAATTGAAAAGCCACCTAAATAATTCACTTAGATGAAGCTTTTTAGCATTATCCTTTCTATTCTGCAAATAAAATATGTTGCAGCAGATCAAGTTTTATCTTGATCATTAGTGCTTATATCTGGATACAGAACACACAAAGTAACTTTTGCTTTGGCAATGTGGCTAAATGACATAGGACATGCAACTTTCACAGGTGAGTGAACAACTGAAATTAAATAAGCACCTTTGTACAAGGCAATTTCAGTTTCTATGACTGCTGCATTTTTTGGGCCAGTTTACCCAGCCTGATCTCTGTGTTAATACTACAAGAATAAACTGTAACCCATGTATGAAGAAAGAATGATAAAGCACACTGAATGAACTATCCTTATGAACAGGGTGCAATTTTAACATGTCTTCTCAAAGATAACAAAAATCTTTACAAATAACCTGGCTCTGAAGCATTGTCAAAGGTGTCTCTCCTTGTTCCATTGCATCAGGATCACAAAGCCAACTTTGCACAGGTCGAGTTTGTTTTAAAAGAGAAAGATACGCATGAAAAACATCTGCTTTAACATTCTCTTCACGTTCTTTGAATCTGGCTATTAAAGCAGGAGATACAGTTTTGTAGAATTCTGGAAGCATTTCGTGTCGTGTGCTAACCACAGCATCCAGACATTTAGCAGCTGCACGCCTCACTTTCCAGCTCATGTCATCATCATCACTATATTCATCATCACTCCCTTGAAAAAATAAATTATGCATATGTTCAAGTCTAGACAAGCAAAGCATCAAGTTTTATTTTAAACAATTAAAAAGAACACACTTTTTAAACAATTAAAAACTTGGGTTCTTTGCATAAGATACACAAAGAAATACGTTCAGAATTACGTTAAAAACCATACATATAAAAAGCCTTCTAAACAGCCTAACTTGCAATTCTCAGCCAATTTTTTTCATGTTAGTCTTCCACACATATTAATTTAAACTGCAAATAGGAAAAGGAGCTCCCCATCAGATTTCCAGCCTGACTACTGATTTAAAGCATATTCTTCTTTATTCATGACAACAAAGCAATGGTGAATATTAGCTGATCAAGATTCAAAAAACTATTCTGTCTGCTTATTTCCAGAGGTAAATCAAACTATACAGCATCCCCCCAAAAAATAACAAGTATAAAATAAACAATATAGATTTTTCAGGTCTTAAGACAACAACTATGCAGCTCACTCCTTCCTCAAGTAATGAGAATTTTATGCCCTCAGCTCAAATTACTTGTGTGTCCAAGTTTTCACAAAGCTTCTATCTGGCAATGTTTACCACCATATTAACAATAAAATACCTTACGCCTTTCAGTGTGAAACACTTCTATTTTACAGAAAAATACTGAGTAATTTTCAATCTACTCTGATTTCATGCATTAGGTACCAACATACTATAGTGGAAAGTAGTGAGAAGCCTCTCCCATGCTGTATATGTATTTTCAATTCATTAACTTATGTTCTCACTTTATTTATATCATGCCATATGCTTCTGCCTTTTTCCACCTTTCAGGTATTTTAAAATATTTGTCTTGTATTTTATGTTCCCTCTCTGAATTACTGATCTCCAGCCTATACTTTTATTCCAGGAAGAGAGTTCATTAGCCATGTTTAAAAAAGGTACAAAATTTGAATGAAAGTACACAAGTCATTCAAATGCTGGTACTCAGGAGTATTACCACCCATACCAATTCTCCCAGATGGGTGCAGGATCAAAAGCTCATCCTCTCCCCCAAATCAAAAAGAGAACACACCTTGATCATCATCATCACCGCCATCAGCATCCATAGCATTTTCATCTTCATCTTCATCATCATAATTGTAATTAGGATCATAAGTAAGATATTTAAGACAAATGTTTATAATAGTAGATACATGAGGATAAACTTCTTTAGGACACCTGTGTAATATAAAAAAACAATCACTACCAAATTACTCTGAAGTACTAAAATATTCTTAAAGGATTTAATGTTGCATACTGTACTTTGGAGAGAGTAGCCTAGACAACATCAAGGCATCTCTCTGAACTACACAAATTCAAAGGGAAGGTCAGAAACAGTAATGCCACTTTATAACAGGATTTGCTAGACTGCAAGGTGCAAAGGACTCAGACATGCCTTTGGATACCAATTTTTTATCACCACTATTGGACACAAATATTGTAAGATTATTTCCCATCTCTTGTTTGCACAAGTAGCAATGGCATAGTAAAAAGCTTGTAGAGTACAGACATAACACACTGCTTAAGAGTTAAGTTACAAGATAGCTATAGGAACTGTTCCAGCTGAAAGCTTGCAAGTATTTTGTATGAGGGAGGCTGTCTCTTGACAGCTTACAACCAAATGACACACTATTAGATCTTAAGAAAGCCTGAAATAGGTACCCATGAATGACTTACCTCCTAACAAAAGATTCAAAGGCTTGAATGCAGTACTCTCGTAGCTCATCATCATCTACATTACAAAACTTTACAACCAAAGGAATTATCTTCTCAAGATATTCACCTGGTAAGAGAAAAAAATTAGCTAAGTAATTACTCTCACAGAAAAACTTCAAAGTAAAAGATATAAATGATCTTTTTCTTACCTATTCTATGACCTGCTTGCCTACTGATAGCGGCAATACACTGTATATAGGTCCTAGTTGTTGACATGGAATCATTTTTAGACAGCTCTGTCAACAGATGTTCAATGAGGTCAACAAAAACCATATTGCCACAACTCATAACCAGGTGACCAAGAGCAATGATGGTTCTTTTCCTCACAGCAAGTCTTGGGCTGGTCAGCTGGGGGAGCAGACAGGTCAGAATTGAAGGATGGAAGTTAACAAGCAGTCCTCCTTGCCTTAAAACAGACAAAACACAAACTCAAAACCAATTGAATCTAGATAACTTTGTTCATATACTGTAAAACAATCCTTCAAATATTCCCCAAACATCACAAAGATTCCAATCAAATGTTTAAAATTTCAGGTTTTCTTGTTAAAAGAAGAAATGAGTTTAAAATGTAACTTCAAAACAACAAACATTAAAATAAGCTTAAAACTACAGTCCTCAGAAAATTAAATAGTAATTGATCAACCAATTATCTTCAATACATTCACTTATTTTTTCTAAATTAAATTTCATCTACATGTAATATTACCATATTATTTCATATAACTTAGAATAATTTAATTTTAACATCTGGAAAACTGAAGTTCAAGCTTTAAGTAGTATTTATAAGCATTCACCAGCATATTAAAAGAGGGCTGTTTACCTGCTCAGCATATCAGCCATGATATCCAGTGCCTCCAGTTGAACAGACACATCTTCCTGCTTGGCTATAGCACTAGTGAGACGCCCTGTGATCTTTTTGCAAACATTAGCTGCTAATGCAGAACCTGAAAGTACAACAAAACCTTAGCATTTCTATAATATTTAAAACATACAGCTTTTAACACCAGAGATGATGTTTGTGATATGGAAAGCAACCCTATCTACATAAAGCAGCTTTTTCCAACCAACAAAACAAGCTTAAACAGCCTACTAATGTCATGTGTGCTCTGCAATAGAGCTGAAAATATTATCTATGTACAAACATACTAAGCAGGAGGGATTCTTGTCCCAGAAAGTACACACAACAGAACACTGCTTTTGGAAGGGCAAGCAATGGAAAGTGAAAGCCACAACTCTAGACCAATAAATGAAAGGACTATAAGTAAAAATGAAGGTATATACTGTATAAGGAAAAACACAGAAGTAGATAGAACTACTTCTAATGGCAAAAAAAAGCAAAATAAAATTATTTTGCCCAAGAAGCTACTTAAAAATTAAGTACCTGAAATACTACTGAAACATTTGAGAAAGGGGGGAAAATTTATATCCAAAGTGTTTTAAAATACAAGTAAAAATGTCTTTATAACAACTTCATAGTTCCCCCTTCCTCTAATTGTCTAACATTGTTTCAAGTAATATGAGAAGGAACTCCTATCATGATAACGACTGCCCAGTGGTTAGTACTCATCTTCACCTGCATGAAATTATTTGACTCACATTTTGCAAATTTCAATGTGAAATTAACACCATTCCAACCTATGGTAAATCTAGTTTACATATATTATGGCTCATTCTTAACTGCAACTAAAATTAAAATATAACAAGTGGACAGTCTAATGTGTTACCATGGAGGCTAAAAAAAAGAACAATCTGTGTTTGAGTTGGGAGCAAGAAATAACATGTTGTTTCTTTTTATATTAGGAATGTTAACTATATTGAAAGACTTGCCTACATTTTTGTTTGAGCTTTACCTCCACCCAAAAATCCTTTGTTTTGTGTTAGCAAACAAGGGTAAAAGCTTAAAACAACTTACTTAAAATTAGTTATTTATGTAAAGCTTATGCATCTCACTGCTGCTTGACAGAAGCAAGATTTACATGTCAACTTTCAAAAAGGATATTAAAACCAGAGCTTTTTTTTTAATTCAAGAGACCTCAGTCTCTAAAAATGTAATTTCCAAAACCTTTTTAATCACTCTCTAGTCTCATTCATATCCTACAATATGATATCTCAAAAGCACTAGAGTAAAAAAGCAATGCTAATAACTGATGAGCTGTTCAACATTAGTGTCTCTTCTAGAGGAAAGACTGCCTTCATTTAAACCTGCAGGTAAGACTTTCACTAATTTAACAGGCAACTGTCAGAAATACAAGGTACTTCCCAAAACAATTCCTAGAAAGTGAGACAAGAAAACAGATGGTTAAAGAAAAATACAGGAGTTGTAATCAATTTTAAAGTGCATTATCAACCGAAGACCAAGATGAGATTTAGCTATTACTACAGCCTAGATGTGCTCCACCAGGTAATTATTAAAACAGAAGCTTTTATACCTTCTTATACTGAAGTTCATATTCTCTGACCTTGTTTTCCACATTAATGCAATTCTTCAGTAAAAAAAAATGTTCTTAAACCAGTGAAATTTGGCAATGTAGTCAGAGAAGGAGAAATTGAAAGGGTATTTGTGCCATGTTTTTACCCTAACTGAAACTAGTTTCAGTGCTAAATTTACTGAATCCACTTCCCTAAAACCCCCAGCTTTTTAAATTTTTTTGAATTAGTAAATTATACAACTACATAAAGTCTTTAGTACAAAATGACTTACCACTGGAAGCTGGAGGAAGTTCTCCAATCACAGTTTTAAGACCGATGCTTGAAATGTCACGTAACTGTTCTTTATCCGAAAGCATGTTTGTACACAGGGTATCTACAATGGTCTCCACTTGATACTCCTTCACTTTACTCACCAGAGGTCCCAGGCTATATAAATGAGAGAAGAGCATTAAATTGGCAACAATATTATTTCAATATTTTTCATCCAAGTCATAAACTTCAGGTTGATTTTGGTAGCAAGACAAAGCAGAATTTTAAAAACTGAAAACCCTCATCTGGTTGGACTGGTAATTTATTTACTCCATATAACAAAACACTCATTTAGTACATGTTTCTTATTTGGAGCTGGAAATTAATTTTGTATGGCTGTTCTGCTTCAGTCTCAAAACCACAGTCCCTCTTTCTTCTCAGTTCACAACAAGATTTATAACAAAAATTAACCTAGCCAGAGCCATCAGTTTACATGCCTGACCATCAGTGTATGCAAAATTCACAGATAAGTAAACAATATTCTTAATTACTGCATCTTTATTCTATACAACATTTGGATTCAGTCATGGCTGTATGCAGTGAAACAAACCCAAAACACATCTTCTATCCTCAAACCTGTTGTATGCACCCCATTGCTGATACCCTTTTTTCCCACATCCAAGAATTCACAAGGGCAAGACCTAACTATTAAAAAAAACTGCCCAGCAGAAGCAAAAAGCAGAAAGCAAGAGCAAACAGGAGGAGGACATAGACAAGCAAGCCCTTGCACTTAAGCACTGTGTGTGACTTACTGCACGATAGTAACCAGAGTAAGGTTCAAAGTTTTGGCATCAGGGTCTGTCACCATGTTAGGCAAACCTGGAGCTTCTCTTTCGATGGCCACGCTCACAATGCCTCACCTGCCATGAACTCAGAACAGTGCTTGCACTTGAGGCACAACACTTAGCTTAACACCCAGGAATACGCAATTCCCAAGGCAATCACACCTAGCACTTTCCATGCTTATCTTCACAAACTATAACCTGCTTGGCTTCTTTCTCACCTTACCCACTCAGGAGGGAACTCCTGTGGTAAAATCTGCTGAAAATACATGTGGGGGCGGGGGCAGGGGAAGGGTGGGCGGAGAGGCAGCAAAGGCAAAACGTACTTGCCAAAACCAGACACTGAAGTAGCACTTGCAACTAACTCCATCCTGTTAATGCACAGAACTTGGAACTAATTTGAGATTAGTCAAACTAGTGCACAAACATCTGAAACTGATACCTTATGATCACATCAATGCCACAAATTCAGAAAGATTGCAATTTATTCAATTTGTGGAGTATTTAATGGAGATTTACATATGACCTTAAACTAAATACAGAAGAACAACTTTTGCTGTATTCAAAAATACAGCATACAGATAATCTCAAAAGAACTCTTAGTTGAGATACTGACTAGTGTCTGATCAAAGGCATAAAAAGCCCTTTAAGTACACAGAAATGAAGACATAATGGATGGTTTCTCACTTGCTTCAGCAGCTCCTGCAGAAACGAACAGTTCTTTCTGACAGAGACCCCTTCCCTAAGAGCAGTCAGACCTCATGCCCTAACCTGACACTGCCCTTTAATTTAGGGAAAGGGCACTCTACTGGATTAGTTCTTTCTGACAGAGACCCCTTCCCTAAATTAAAGGGCAGTGTCAGGTTAGGGCATGAGGTCTGACTGCTTTTAGGGAAAGGGCACTCTACTGGATACTTTAGATTTGATTAAACTATCTCTACAGCCACTAAACCCCTGAGAGTAGAGAGGGGTTTAGAGGACCATATTCACAATCTAATCTGGTCATTTTACTGCTTCAATTATATTAAATTAATAATGATTAAAATAATTTCTGAACACTAATACTGGTAAAGAATTTTTGCATCTAACTTAAAAACTTCTGATAAATCTGGACACAAACAGATCTGCTAACACAAATTATTTGTACACAAATAATCTGCTAACACAGATTATTACCAATAATTATCTCAGAGACACAAATACATCAAGCTATCCCTGGCTGAACCTGAAACATTTTCTCCAGTTGCTGAAAAAGCTCACGGCTTTCTTCACAACTTGATTTGACTCCAGTCAAGCTTTTCCTTCACTGTGATTCATTGACACATCTATATATAGAGTTTCCCTTCATACACACCACTGTCAGTCAGTGGCTACTCACAGCACTGTTGCATGCATCTGCTCTTGGTGCATAGTAAATTGTTTTGCAAGCAACACAAGCACAAATCAACTCAAACAGAAACTTACAGAATTCCAAGGTACAATGACTCCATAGTAGTTCAGAGAAATTAAATTCTCTGTGCGTTTCAGTCAACAGACTACAGTACACAAAGTTAAAAACCCCTTGTTTTAAACCTGAACTGTTGAAAAACTACTGAATTCTTTTGATTTAAATATGCTTATTTTTCAAATGCATCCTATAACTAATTAAAATAATCACAGCAAAGGCCAATCAGATTCATCTCAGCTAAGAATCGGAAAAACTTTTTGCTAATGTTTTAAAGATGACCAAACCACTGGAATTATATTAACACAGACTATAAATTACAGTTTCTGGGAAGTATTAAGCCATATATTATCAGAATCAGCATCTTCAGTCCTATTTATTCAACCTATTAGTTCAGCAAAACAGACAAAACAATTCTGAAGTAAATTTTACAAAATATTATCTCAAGCTTTTCTGGCCTTCAGAATCAGTAAATATCACTCATAGACCTTATTATTAGTTGGGACTAATAATACAACTAATAATTAAAAACCAGAAATTGAAAATAAACTATAACCTTCTTGTATCAAATCAGTTCTGACTACAAAGCTTTTGCACTTAAGCATGTATTTTACACACTTGAAGGCCATTTTGGATAGTCTTAAGTGCTCTTCAATCTTTTCCCTTTTACTAGCCAATAATTTGTGTCTAGGTTCTCTCAAAGTAAAAAGCTCATTCAGCTCCCTATGGAAATAAACAGCAACACACTGTCTCCTTTAAGTTACACACATTTGGAAATAAAGGTGTTCATAGCATAGCTCCATATTAGGAAGCTGAACAGCAACGTATAATCAATTATAATCTCCAACTGGCATACTTTAACAGCTATGGAATAAGCACATTTATTTACAAGGAAGAATTAAAATTCACAAATTTAAAAAAACCCCACATTATTCAAATCACTAGTATAGCATGATGTGCAGTAGCGTATTACCAAAGCATATAAAATGCTTTAAAGCTGCTGAACTGGATCAGCCACACAGCAGCCAATACATGCATCATCCTGTTCACACTAATGACTCACACTCACAGCGTCAGGGAGAGCTCCCTACACTGAACCACTGCCCAGAGAAGTCACTCTGATAAATGCAGAGAAACTACAGTACCACAGGGAGGAATCACTGAAAGTGCTTTATCCCACCTTTTTCACTCAAGGTAGATTTGGGTATGTTTGGCTTCTTACTGGTTTCAGGAAAGAAATTTTTATTTGTTCACACTGTGAAATCTATGTGTAGGTTTAAATGGCAGAATATCCAAGTGTTCAAAATGAGAAAAAGTTCATCCTTAAGCTGCAACACTGAACACATGAAACAATTAATGTGTAAATTGGGCCAACAGAGCATTACAAAGATTATCAGCAATGAGGAAAAAGCAATACCAACACAATACCTACACTTAGACAAACCACACTGCTTGACTACACCTGATGCACATACTCTTAATCAAGCCACAGGTAGTGCAACTACTGCTGCCATAAGGTGCACAGGATACCATGCTGGACTACACTTACAGCTATAAACTAAACTGTAAGAATAGCCTTTTCCACACTAGCTGATGGTAAAACAGCCTATGACTATCAAAAAAAGGGAGACAACCAAAATACATTTAATATTTTACATGCAGTTAAGAAAAACAAGACAAACAACCTGTTGTTACAGACATAGTTTCATCTGCTGCCTGCAGTAAGAAGCTTAACAAATAAAGCTCAGTTCCCTTCTGTAGGGTCAAAGATTACAGCAGGCCAACTTTTACTTCAAGACTACTAATGCAGGTCATTAATCTTCATTTTTATCCAGAAATTAACTGGACAACCATTTTGCAAGGTAGCTATCCAAATACCAATGACCCCAAAAACTGACTTCTGCTTTGCTTTTACATGGTTTATCCTAACCCAGACCAGCACAATGTAATTGAAAGGAGCAAGAACAAAATCACCAGTGGGTTTGGTAGAGATAATAAGAAAAAAGTTAATTGGCATTTTAACCAACAGAGCTCTTCTTACTCAAGTGTGAAAGCGAGCGGCAGATAGGCAAAACCAGGAACACTGCTCACTTGTTGCTACACTTTCCTAAAAACAAACACTGCTTTACAGTTGCTCTGAGTTGTTTCAAATCAAACGTGTTCAGTGACCTCGAGAATCAAATCTTCAAAGAGTGACTCTTATGCAAGAGTTTTATTCAAAGCATTCAATTGATCTACCTGTAGAGGAAGTTCCAATAACAAGCTCCAACACCTTCTCCTTTCCTCATGGAAAAATCTATCTCAAGGTCAGAGCATTTCAATTGATCTACCTGTAGAGGAAGTTCCAATAACAAGCTCCAACCTTCTCCTTTCCTCAAGGAAAAATCTATCTCAAGTGCGGATTGAAAAGTACATTGGGCTGTCTTAAATCCTCTTTCTAGGAGAGAGGGAATTGATACTTTAATGGGTCATCAAGGGCCTGAGGAAAGTTACTGCTAACAGTCTCTAAAGTTCACCACAGCATTTAAATTAAGAGAGATCTAAAGACAGTTTATGCTTTCCTCAGCTGGAAGTGCCAAGCACAAAATATTTAAAATTAAAAAAAGCCAAGAAAAATATGCTGGCTGAAATTAACTTCCCAATGAATCAGGCTTACACCTAGTGTTGTAGTAGATGGAAGATTTCAGATCAGCTTGAACTGCCTTAAGAAACCTATAGCTTAGTAGTGTTCAGCCTCTCCCATCCTTCATCCCCGCCAATGTTTCTACCAACAGGTAAACTGCAGGAGGAAAGCAATAAGCCAGAAGGAAACTAAGTCCCTAAACCAGTCTGTCACAAAACCAGGTAAGAAGCAGTGTGAGAAAGAGAACAAGGAGTACAAGAACAGCAAACAGGAAGCAGCAGCAGCATTAGGCTTAAAACTGTCATGAACTGTATTTTGAGTACAAGCTGCTTTAAGAAGAGAATACTCTAAAAGAGTGGTGGTTTGTTTGGGTTTTTTTTAAATTCAGAGCATAGGTGCAAGTGATTAGGACACAAAAAAAACCCCAAAAAACCACAACTTGATGTGATCCAGAATGTACACATGTCCATCTTCTAAACAGATGTTCATAATTCACCTGAAAAATTTTCCATCATGTTTCTTGTCCCATTAAAGTAAATTTAACACTGTTCCCTAACATGATTTGGAATTCTCAAAAACACTCCAAAGTTGAAAGAGATTCAGTCACGTTAGTTAAATCCAAGAGTTTTATCAATATATCGAAGTAAATTTAAAACCTGAAGTACTGTTAATAAGAACAGGATGTGCAGACACACAGGAAGTCATGTATTTTCTCATTCTCTTCCCTTTGCAATCTTTCTTTGATGATTTAGTAAGCATTACTTGTACTTAGACCCTAAATTCTAACACTGCCATTAAAGATGGTGTTATGTCTCTACGTGCATTAATCTAAACTTCAGGACAACTTTAGGATGTACATTAGAAATGAGTATTGCATGCATGCTAAAATGTAACTTTTCCATAAAATGCTATTGCATACAAAGACAATTCTAAGCCTGAGCCAAGTTTCACAACAATATGCTCTTCTGATTGAGTACAAGCAATCTGTTTCAAAACCATGAAAACATGAGCAACAGACATTCCAGAAGTTTCAATTAAAAAGAAACAGGGTATTTTGTGTTGTTATGAACAGGAGATGGGTAAGACACATTTTAACAACACTGCATCCCTGGTGACAGTAGGGAAAAAGTAGTGACAGTTATGGTGCCAATGTACTTAGTATTGCTAATATTTGGCTTGAAACTTGATATTTCTACACCAATTGTCTGTGCAAGGTTTTGGTTATCATCAGTCACAATGCTGCAGCAGCTGAAGCAAACATTGCTTCTAAGTACATAAGCAGAGGTATACACAGGCTTTTTCTGCTTTGCTAGTCTGACAGGGCAAACTACAAAGAATAAAAAGCTAACACAAACTTGGCTAGTCACATTGTGAAACTTCTCAAGCTCCTGTATACCAAGTTTACTCCAATCCATACCTCATGTAATAAGAGGAGTGTATATGGAGTATTAAAAAAACAACAAAACAAAACAAAAAAAAAAAACTTGAGCTCACAAACAAGAAACATTCTCAGGAACACTATATGCCTCCTAAAAGAGGCCCTCTTTAAAGCACACAAAAATCAGAATGGCCAAGAACAAAAAGTCATAAGAAATGTAACACCTCTTCAAAGGGTGCTCTGGAAAAGTCACACCATATGTAAAGCTCAATAAAGTGAGGAAGAGAGGGCAGTGAAGCAACAGTCTCTGAAACACAGGTAAATGCACCCTGATCCCATAAAACATTTACAGCTCCTGTAAAGCTTGTAAAACCATTACTGCAGTATTCTGAATGTTAGTGAAGAGGTGAACTCCATGTTTGATAACCGAGGCCATATCTTTACCATTTCATGTTTTCATGTCTGCTTGAAAACAACTCTAATACTACAATTCTTCCCCTGCACATCATCTAAGGTCTCACCATCAGGTATCAATGTGGCAACTACCACTGAATTATAAGCTTTTTGTATCTATTTAACAATCAAGAATTATCACCAAAGAACAAGTTACTTAAATACTTCCAGCAAGTACTGCTTGTGCTATTTGGTGCCTGAAGCCCCAAATATTAATGCCCAATGTCACCAAAACATAGTTTTATGTTTTTATGTTACAACAATAAAGGCAGGTAGTCTACAAGAATAAGGGTTCCTTTGGGGACATCAATTTCAAAATTATTTTGTGTAGCAGTGGTCGTTTGAGTTTTCAAAAAGTGCTTTATATTGTTCAGTCATTATACAATTCTTTACATCATAGAAAAAGAATACCTACCATTTGACAGCTAAGTTTTGCACCTCACCATTTTTATCTTCCAGTAATTTCAAAATCATCTTCACCACTTTTCTTTCACTGTCATCATCCAGCTTGATAGAATCTTTCTGTAGTTCTGTCATCAAGTCATTAGTAGCCATAAACCTGCCAAAAGATGTGAGATAATTATTGCTAAAGGGATATGGGTTATTCACAGCGCTCAGGATTCAAGATTCTCAGTTTCCACAATTTGTTATCAAACAAATCACATTTAGCATTGAGTTACTATTGTCTGTTTTGTGATGCAAGTAGCATGTATAAAACAGAAAGGAAGAAAAACTGTATTTGAAAATGATAGGTGATGACCTAGCTCAGTTTTCTCTTATGAGAACAACTACATATTTTACTTCCAGCATTTACATTATATTTCACATGATCTCCCCCAAAGAAAAACTGACACTTTCACAGATTTTAAGTAGTCTTCTCATAAGCTATACTGATGTTATAAAAAACAAGCTTTTTTTTAAACTTTGTTTAAAAAAATTATCTGTTCTGAGTTTATTTTAAAACAAGTTTTAAACAAGAAGAAAAATATAGTTTCTCAAACATTCTCCCATAAAATTCACAAAAGCCAAACTTTAGTTAATGAAGGGAGAAATTAAAGTTAAGCTTATGTTCCATGTGTTTTTCATTTTCTTGCCTTGTACAGACTAGCTTGTTTACAGCTCAGAAAACAGAGCTGATCACATTTCTCCAGCCCTCAATACAGGGTGCCACAGTAAAGAACAAAATTAATTCTTGAGAGATCAAGCAAATAAAATCATCTTTCACATAAATTAATTTACTATTTAATAACAGTCAATATCCACCAATAGAAGAACATACTGAAAAATTAGATTCCAAAAATATTGCCTTTATGCCTTCTGTTTCTTTTCCTTCTGAAGTCTGTTTCACAATCCATTTTTCTTTTGTAAGTGCCCTCTCTTCTCAGAAGCAGCAATACAGACGCATTACTCAATTACAGATCCCACGGGCTTCAGTACTGACACCAAACCCCATGCAAAACTCCAAACGAGGGTTTGTAGTTAAACAGTTAAGGCTGACATTTGGACTTCAGGCACATCAGCCTCAAGCAGACATCACTCCAGCTCAGGTCATGCTTGGAAGGTTATCTCTGCAGCTTGACATGCCAGACACTACTTTTTATTGAAAACAAAAGCCAAGACTCTGCATAATCTTAATACGCATCACAAATGCCAGATGCCTAACCTCACCTAATGGACCTCAACTTGTCCTGTCTTTTAATAATTCCTGTCTAATGGTCTCAAGGTGTTTCCAAGATAAGACTTCACCCCTTTTTCACTCACTCCAACAGTCCCACTGAAGCAAGCCTGCGGTCTGACAGGAACCAGATGTGCACCAAAACAGGGTGTGGATGCAAAGCATCAGCTTTCAAGCACGGTAATGAAAAAGGCTACTTGGTAAGTAAAGCTAACAGATAGCACCTAATTTAAGGATATACATGAACACTCAAAAACTGTCTCCAAGCTGCGGTCTGACAGGAACCAGATGTGCACCAAAACAGGGTGTGGATGCAAAGCATCAGCTTTCAAGCACGGTAATGAAAAAGGCTACTTGGTAAATAAAGGTAACAGATAGCACCTAATTAAGGATATACATGCACACTCAAAAACTGTCTCCAAGTTACTGCTGCATTTACCTCCTTTTCTTAAAAACTGAATAGCCTCCTCTCACTTCCTTGGCCAATGGCTCTTATTTACGAGCCTCAGAAGGTCATGTCAGTGACATCACTTACTTGTCAGTTCCCAAAGTAAGAGCATGCACATCCTCAGTGCACCAGCAGCCTCTGCACTCAACTACAACAGGGTTGGCTGAAACATGCAAACCAACCCAAACACCAAAATGGGGTGGGGAGACCAGACAGATTTAGTGTAAAGCAGCTGGTATTTAGAAATGTAGTTTTAAGTCATTTCAATGTGACTTTTGGTCACAACTCCCCCTGCCTGCACATCAAACTTTACCTGGGGCAAAGCAGGCAGCGTGTCAGCAGCTCCTCACAGCCTGCACTGAGAGCAGTCGCTCTCCCACAGCCAGACTCTAAACTGCCACCTTACCTGACTGCCCAAGCTTCCATGTGGACAATACAATCACAAGTAGGTAAATCTTCCAAGAAGTACATATTGCAGCTCTGCATCAGACAGGTCAGTTTATCCAAAAAATGAGCATTACTTTTTACAGTAGACTGCTTACTTGAATGGTTGTTTTGGACTCTGCTGCCAGATATCAACAAGATAACTACACTGTCCCTCTTCAAACAGATGTGATCTACGAACAAATGCACTTACAATTACTGAAACTAAATACCATTCTATCCATTATGCAAATACACAATACACATAAAGTTTCATAAAATGTTACTCCATAACAGCCAATTGGTAAAGGTCTATTATCACTCATTTTTTTATAGTTTGCAACATTAGATTTTAATCTAAGACTTTTTTTAATATTTCAGAATTTCAAAGTTGTTCAAAGCAACTGGAACAGAATTTCTGAAATGTGCTCTACTAAAAGAACTACACAAGAAGTTTTAACACAGCTGGGAGGAAAAAAATGTTTGCCACAATTGCACTGGACAGGTATAACCTACCCCTTCTATACAGGAAGTTTTTAACTCATAAAAATCAGTATTTATCACAAATCCACTGTTTCAGTTAATCACAGAAACAAGTTAGTATGAAAACAGTAAAAATCTTGTAATATTTAGAGGAAAAAATGTTTCAGTCTAGTTTCAGAACAATTAAAAGAAATCGGACAATTTTAGTTTGTCTCTTTTTAGACTAATCAGTATTTTACTTCCAAAATTTCTAGTCTGAACTCTCCAGGTAATATAAAGCTATTAAAATTTGAAAGAAATTGTCACAAAAATCTCGTATCAAATTTGTGTCCAGTACTAAAACACTCTGTCAAAACCTAACAAGATTATTCAAAACCCAGCTCTATATATGACTACTGTTTTCCTTTAGATTTTAATACATTGACACTTGTTTGGATGGCATCTACTTCAATAATAAACTAAGCACTGTGATGCTTCAGCAAAGCAACAAAATACAAGTGTATTTTATGCCTTTTCCCTGTCTGTTTTGATATGTTCTCATAGACAAGCAAAACCTTCAATTTCTGGTTGCACTCAATACTAAAACAATGTAATTATTTTTAACCTAATGCTTTGCCAGAGGTAATGTGTAAATGTATTATCTCTGCTGTTTTTTAACAGTTTACCTGTATTAATTCATTTTCTGATATTTTACAATTCATCCGCTATGAATTTATTACAAAGCAAGCAAATGGTCCAATGAAAAGTAGTGCTCCTGTGACGGATCCTGAACTCAAAATTAAACCCAGTCCCTGTAACATTTAAATGGATTTCTCCCTATGGATGCACAGGGGCAGTACCAAACTAGATGAAGAGCACAAAACCCCACTGTCTAAAAGACACAGCATCCAGAAGGATGTGAGCTGAGGATCACAGAATCATCTGGGTTGGAAGGGATCAGTGCAGATCATCCAGTCCAACCCCCTTGCAAAGACAGGTGACACAGGAACATGTTGAGGTCGGGTTTAAGTCTCCAGAAAGGGAGACCCCATGACCTCCCTGGGCAGCCTGTTCCAGTGCTCTGCCACCCTCAGTGTAACACAGCTCGTCCTCATGTTGAGATAAAACTTACTGTGGTTTAATTTATGGCCATTCCTCTGAGTCCTGTCACTGGCCACCACTCACAAGCGTCTGCCACCATCCTCCTGGCACCCACGTTTAAAGGAACTGAATGCATTAATGCGGTTCCCTCTCTTTTCTAAAAACACCCAGCTCCCTCAGTTTCTCCTCATAATGGGGACGCTCCAGTCCCTTTATCATTGTGGCCCTCAACTGCACCCTCTTGAGTCTGCCGCGCTGGCTACCCCTTCCTGCTTCTATCCGCAGAACCACAGGATCCATGTTTTCTGAAGTTGGGAAGAGACGAGGGAGGTCACCTCATCCGACCTCTGCTGCTCAAGGCCGGGTCAGCGACAGCTGGTTCCTCTGAGCACCTGCGAGCCCAGCAATTCGGACCTCCACCCTCGCCAGCCACCCAGCCTGGCGGCCGCCCGCCTTCCCCGGCCGCCGCACATCTCTGCCCACGACGCGCGGAGGCCGCGGCGCTGCCCGCGCCGCCCGCGCCGTCCTTCAGGGCAGCGAGGAGGGGGATGCCCCCACGGGAACTTTCTTCCCGGGGCGGCAGCGGCAGCAGCGGCTCCCGCCCAGCCCCGCAGCGCGGCGCGGACAGCCGGGCCCCGCCGCCGGCACCTGCCCCCGCCCG